GGTCCCTGTGCTTTGCCAAGCTTGTTCTAAGTAGGTGCTTTAGACCACTGAGCCATCTCACCAGTCCCTAATTGCCTTTTAAAAGGAAAGTAGTTGTTAATCTCAAATGACTAAATCTTTGGCAATAAAACTTCAAGTAGTAGTCAAAATGAGCCAGGGAGATGGCGCTTCCCTGGCAAGTGCAAAGTTCTGAGTTCAATCCCTGGTTCCGGGAAAAAAAAAAAAAAAAAAGCAGAATTAAGTAGCAGTCAAAATGAGACAAATAATTGTATAGTGTGTGTGGAATATTTTAAAAGTTCTGTACTTCTCTCCCTCAATCCCACCTACCATACTTAAAAGAGCTTGACAGGGCCAGGGAGATGGCTCAGTGACATAAGTGCCTGCCTGGCAAGCGTAAGATTTTGAGTTCAATACCTGGTAGTGAAAAAAAAAAAAAAAAAAAGAGCTGTGAGTTTCTGAGGGCCAGCTTTGCCTCTATTCCTTCCCACAACATTACTGTTAATTTTACAGAAATGCTGTCAAGCAGGCTCTAGTAACACTTCCATAATTTCTAGATTTTTAGTGAGGCCAAGGCTGAGGTTTAAGAAAGTCAGGCAGCTTGTCCAATGATAATGTCCAATGATTCAGGGAAGCTGAATCTTCTTCCTGTGATGCACCTATTTCCTACAGAGCATGGCGAACGGCAGTTTTGTCTGGAATAAGACCATGATGGGGGTCGCAGAGATAGCTCTGCGGACTAAAGTAGGCAAGGGCGGGGACCCCGACTGACCACCAGCACCACGTGCCCCGCCAGCCCCACCTCTAGGGCGGCCTGAGCCAGCCGCATGGAGAGTCGGGGCCTGGTGGCACACACCTGTCATCCAGCACTGCAGAGGATGAAAACAGGAGGATCACTACGGAGATTGAGCTTTGTAGTGAGGCCCTGTAACAACCAAATACATTTAAAAAAAAAAAAAAGGACCATAACGATACAGCTGCATTTGGGAAAGAAACTCTAAAGTTGGCCATCGCATCATGGTGAGTGCCTGTAATGTCAGCTCTGGAAGACTGAGCCAGGAAGATCATAAATTTGAATCCAGCCTGGGCAATGTATTGATTTAGCAAATCCCTGTTTCAAAATAAAAATTAAGGCTGGGTGTAGTGGTGCACACCTGCGGTCTCAGCTTTCCAGAGGCTGAGGCAGGAGGATGGCCAGTGGTTCAAAGCCAGCCTGAACTGCATGGTAAGACCTCGTCTCAAAACGAATATACAAATAAAAACAACCCCCCCAAACCTAATATACAACTAAAAATAAACCTATAATGTTAAATGAAACAAATAACACACGCTTAAATATGCAATGGTTTATGTGTAATCCGAAATATAAAAACAAAATATAATAGGAAACAGGTAGTTTGTTTTTTTTTTTCTTTTTACAAAAGTGAAGGGGACCAAGAGACAGGAGGTTGGAGAGGAGGCAAAGAGGATGACAAAGGAGTTAGGATGTGTTACTACACGTACTCACTCCCCGTGATGAATTTGATTATGTGCTACAAACATGTACTAATAAACTTTTAGGAAAATAGCTGATATCTGCAGGTCATGGTGGTGCACGCCTGTCACTTCAGAGTCAGGAGGCTGAGGCAGGAGGATGGCTATGAGTGCAAGGCCAGCTTGGGCTACATAGTGAGTGCAAGCCCACTCTGAACTATGGAGCAAGACCTTGTCTCAAATAACCAGAGGGCCGGCCAAATAGCTCAGTGGATTAAAGCTCCGGCAAACAGGCGCCAGGACCGGGGGTTCCATCCCGGGGCCTGCCTTGCCGGCCCCACACCCAGGGCGTGCTGAGATGGCAATTGAGACTGGGCACGGTGGCACACGCCTGTAATCCCAGATCTTGGGAGGCTGTAAACAGGCGGATCACTACGAATCTGATCTAGTAGTGAAGCCCTGAACATCCTGTAGACCCTTCCCTAAAATTAAAAAAAAAAAGAAAAAGAAAAAGAAAAAATAACCAAAGAAAAGTTTATATAAAGGAATTCTGAGACCAAAAAGTTTGAGACACATTGTTTTACGCGGGAACCGTGTCCATTATACAGAGGAGGAAACTACCAATACACTTTGTACTGGTTCCTGCAAGGACTCAAAGTTAAGTGTAGTGCCAGGTACTGTATCCAAATCGCCTTACTCCAGGCTACAATATTTTTGCCAAAATCTTTAAACTGGTGATGAAAACCTTTCTTTTTATTTATTTTTTTGAGGCAGGGTCTCACTATGCATAGCGATCCTCCTGTCTCAGCCTCCTGAATGCTGGGACAAGAGGCGTGCACCATTACTCCGAGCAGAAGACATTCGGAACATTCCCGAAGTCTCGAGCTTATTTCACGGCTCTCTAGCTTGTCAGCTACCTGCGTGACCCTTCACCTTAGCTCAGGCAAGGCACTAAATTTCTGGGCTCTCAGCCTGGTTTTCGCTGACGACCTGTGGCTTCCTGAATCCGAGCTCCGCTGGGGAACTGCAACTCACAAGATTCAAACTGAGGCTCTCGAGGGATTTACTGAGGATCTAGGAACATAGGCGTTCTCCTCTTTAACTGACCGCATTACACGCCTCCCTTCACTGAGCTAACCAAAAACTGTAACTTCTGCGGCCTGGACCCACGCGCTCAATGACGTCATCCGTACGCTGATTGGCTGCGCTTCACAGTTGCGGCTCAGAGATCCGACCGTGGGTCTGACGTGAACACCTTATCAATGCCCTCTCCACGCCCACCCTCCCGCGCTAGGTGTGAGTGGATACTAGCTACTCCGGCCTGGGCCGGGTCGGTGCGTAGCCACGCCTCCAGGAGCTCATGGCCACTGAAAGCCCGAGCTTGAGGGGGCGGGGCCTCCAGGGATGCATGGATTGGCTGATTGGGAGCCATCTCCCGTCGTGCACTGGGGTGCCGGCTTCTCACCCGGAAGGAGAAGCTCTGACTCTAGTTGTAAGGTGGTGTAGCTTTGGGAATCGGTGCTGCTCTCAGGTGAGTGGGCGTGGGCGGGGTCCCGGGGACTGGATGCTGCTCTCAGGTGAGGGGTCATGGGCGCTTGGGTGTTGGCCTCGCTTGACACCCTTGGGTTGGAGCTCTCTCACCATTGTGATGAAGAGGAGGGTTTGCCGGGGATCCTAGAAAGGAAACCTGGCTTTCCAGTTTATTTTGTGAGTGTAAAGAATCTTTCCTTCCCACGCCCAAACTTTATCGGGAAGGGACGAGGCCACGGGGCTCCTAGCTCGTTAAGAATGGAAGAGATGAGTGGCTGTAGTTAGAGTTTGGGGACATCTACCCGAGCGACTGGGCTGCGGGTAGTAGTAATGCTGTAGGCGCCCACAGGAGACGTGCTGGATCGTGTGCGCCTGTGTTGCCCCCGGAGTGGAAGGAGGGGCGGGTTACAGGTGGACGAAAAGCTCCTGGTTGAGATCACACAGCTTGGTCAGACGGGTTTCCCTGCCATCTCTGGGTGTTCAGGAAGGCGAGCTGTTTGTTTTGATGCAGAGGATCGAACTCAGCCTTCTCACTGAGCGACGTCTCCAGACTTCGTTGTCATTTTAGACAAGGTCTCGCCGAGTCACTTCAGTTCCCCAGGGTGGTCCCAAACTTGCCATCCTGCCTCGTCCTCCCCGAATGCTGGGCCCACAGGCGTGTGCCTCCACGCCTGGCTGAATTTGAGTGTTTGAAAAACTTTAAAACAAATCCACTTTGTAGACAGCACATGGCTGGGTTCTCACTGAGCTATTATTGGTGCTGGTACAAATGGAGAAAGTAGATGATACCTCAGTTGTGATGCGCTGGGCGCATAGCACCGAGTAAACTGTGAAAGTTGGGGGGTCCCTGACTAGCCTTAGTGTGCTGCTGAGATGATAAAGCTAATGGACCTCCTGTCCTCGGGGGGCTGACCTGAGCCTTATTTATCTGTGGGAAACAAGGTGATGGAGAGAATAGTAGTTCCTAGGAACTGTTACCGACAGTGTAGATTTTTGTACTTGATCCAGTGTTTTAAATGAAATCCTTTTACAATCAAAGCTTTTATTTATTTATTTATTTATTTATTGGTGGAACCAGGGATTGAACTCAGGCCCTTGCGCCTGCCAGGAAAGCGCTTATTCTACTGAGCCATCTTCCCAGCCCCAATCAAAGCTTTTTGGGTCCCCTTTAAATTTACATTTCAGCATACTGCATCTGGGAGGTTATTGGATTCTTTTTATTTGTTTTGGTGCTGGGGATGGAATACAGGACTCTCCATGGAGATTTATCCCCAGTTCATCGTGTGTTTTGATAGGGTCAGTCTCATTTCCCCAGGTTGGACTTGAATTTGTGATCTTTCTTCTGTAACTTCCCAGCGTGCCAGGGTTGCAGATATGTGTCACCATGCCTGGCCTTCTCAACTTACTTTCTTTCTTTTGTTTTCCTGAAACAGGGTCTCACGGTGCAGTTCAGGCTGGCCTTGTGCTCACTTTGTACCCAGACTGGTCTTGAGCTGGCAATGATTGTCTTGCCTCAACCTCCCAAGTTCTGAGATTCCAAGCGTGTGCCACAACCCTTGGCTCTTTTTTCTTTTTTTAAGGCAGTATGTAGGTATTTGTTTCTAAGTGGTAATGGGGTCACAGGGAAAAACTTTCACAAGGAGGTGATACAAGGCCCTAGCCAAATTCTCAAGACCAGAGGTAGGATGAGCTTTTAGTTACTGGCTTTCATTCTCGAGTTTGGAAAACTTTTCCAGATGCAGAACATGTAAACTCCCACTCACGCTGTGGATGACCAGTTTCCTTGACATCGTTGTTCCTATTATTAGCTTTGTGAGAAGACTTCTCAGAATATTTAATTCTTAGCTCATGAGCAGACAAATGCTTGAAAAGAGAAGAGAAAAACTTTTTTTTTTTTTTAACCCAAGGAGGTTAGTTGTTCACAGAAAATCATTATGCTTTCTCTGGTTATAACCCCCAGACTGCTTATATCTGGAATATCGTGGGTTTGGTTCAGGACCCTTTGATAGTGGTGAAAAATCAGATTGTCAGCAAGAATACTGTTTAACGTGCCATTGCAAAACTGTGGGTTTGCACCACAGTGCAGCCCCAGTTTTGTCACCTACCATGTGGTGTGCAATGTCTGTCTGCAGAGAGACCTTCTGCTATATTGGAAAGAATTGCAAAAGCTGTTTGCTGTGCTAATTTCGGGCTGTAAATGAGTTCTCCTTTTTTTTTTTTTTTCCCGAAACGTTTGCCTTGTGTTAGCAAAACATAAAATAGAAGGAAACTCATTATACACTCCTGTAATGGTAAGGCAGAACTAATAAGAGAATGTGTTTAAAATTAATTGTGGGACTGTAACACCGAGTGGGTGTGTGGGTGGCACAGGGCGGGGAGCTGAGAGAGTCGTGTTTTCCCAGGAGCCGGCCCGGATCATTTGTTGGCAGTACTTACTGGCTGAAGTCAGTTTTCATTTCAAGGTAAATTGGAAAGGGAAATTAAACCTTATTGTTGCGCTCTTAGGAGAGGGGAAGGCGATGGAGGCGGCAGGCAGGGTGAATGCTGGGGAGTGGGGAGTGGAGTGCCGAGATTAGTGCTGTATTTTAACGGAAGGTGACATCATGGGCCCCTTTGGACTCGAGGAACCCTGAGCTGCAGCCTTCATGGTCCCCTTGTCGGGGTGGGTGATGTCGCTGTGCATGTAAACGATCACACTGGGGGACATCAGGGCTTAGGCTTTAATGAATCTTTGCAAAGGAGCGAACGCATCCTGCGCCGACCTGCGCAGCTGCGGGCGCCTGGGCAGAGGTACACAGTGGATGGCAGGTCGCGCGAGGACGTGATTACATCGTTTGCCTCCGGTGCCCGAGCTCAGGTTCAGTCGGGGAGCTTCCACCTGGCAGCCCTCTCGGGTGCTGTCCCGAGTGCTCCCGCTCCCTAGCCCTCCTGTCAGGAGGTGACTGTGGCTCGGAAGACAGGCCGCTGGAGCGTTGGGTTTTGTACCGGCTTGGTTTTCTTAACATGGCCGGGAGGGGGCGCTGTTAGGCTCTTACAAAGCTTTGCTCCCAGTGCCGACAAGATGTGGTAGCGCCTGTATCCCTAAGGCAATTTTTCATCTTCCTTCCTTCCTTCCTTCCTTCCTTCCTTCCTTCCTTCCTTCCTTCCTTCCTTCCTTCCTTCCTTCCTTCCTCCCTCCCTCCCTCCCTCCCTCCCTCCCTTCCTTTTTTCTTTTTAGACGGGGTCTCTATGTAGTTCACCTGACCTTGAACTCACTATGTAACCCAAGCTAGCCTTAAACACTGCAGCAATCCTCCTGCCTCAGCCTCCCCAATGCTGGAATGACAGGTATGCAATGCTACACCCAGCTAAACCAAACATTTCACAGCCCGACCCTCCTCTCTGGCCACCTTAGACGCAATCTTTGCAACTCCCAGCGTGCTTTGCATAGAGGTGGCCCTGTAGAGGATTTTGGGAGTGATCTGAGAATGGATTCAAATCTCCTGGGGCCTTAACTGTGTACTGAGCTAATGTCAAGAGTGGTGTGTGTGTGTGTGTGTGTGTGTGTGTGTGTGTGTGTGTGTTGGAGTTTCATTTTTTTGGTTCCTCTTTAAGTTTTACAGAAGACCAAAAATATACATATATTATTTGGGCTTCCCCGGGGGCATCTGGTAGGAACTTTGAGGGTTTTGCCCCAGCGGAGGCACAGGCATATCTGAGCTTGTCCCTGTATCTTCTGTTCCTCTCAGATGTTTTCTTCCAGCCGGCTGTGGACATAGGATGTCGGAGAACCAAGAGCAGGAGGTAAGGTGGTCCTCAGGCATGGTGGGCACCGCTGGGAGGCGCGGGGCACAGACGCAGGCTCAGGGGGTGGAGTAGTGCTGTTCTCCCGGGCACCTCGGTGGCCCTGACAAACTCCAGGGGAGGCCTGGAGAAAAGTCAGTAGCAGTGACATTGTTGGGATGGGACGCTCCTTTTTCTGCTTTGTTTTGGTTTTTTGGACAATAGGGTCTTTTATTTGTTGTTGTTTTGTTTTTTCTTCTTTTTTTTTTGGCACTGGGGATGGAACTTAGAACCCTGCACTTGCTAGGCAGGTGCTTACGCCACTAAGCTGTCTCCCCGGCCCTGTTTGTTTTGAAGCAAGATCTCCCTAGGTAGCCCAGGCTGGCCTTGAACTCAGCCCCCTGAGTGCTGGGATTACAGGCGCGCGTGCGCCACCGTTCCTGGCTGCAGATAGTCTTGCTATGTAGTTCACACTGGCTTGGAACTCTCTAGGTAGCCCAGGCTGGCCTGGCTTGTAGCAGCCGTCCTGCCTCAGCCTCCTGAATGCAAGGGCCACAGACGTGCAGCTGGGAACGTAGACTCCAGGGCAGGGACTGTTGGCTCTTGTCATGCCGTCGCCCCCGTGCTCACCACTCAGCGCAGGGCCTGACAGTAGCGGACATTTGGAAAATAGCGTTGACTGGAAGGACAAGGCCCGTGGGAAGGTCGGTGCTGAGGGAGGGCCGGGCGCCCCGCTGCCCTCTGGCGCTGAGGGCTGTTTCTTCCCGGCAGGAAGTGATCACAGTGCGCGTTCAGGACCCCCGCGTGCAGAATGAGGGCTCCTGGAACTCTTACGTGGACTACAAGATTTTCCTCCACGTGAGCACGCGTGGCGCGCGGGGTGGGAGCCCTGCGGTGCTCCCTGCCTGACCCTCCGCGTTGCCTCCCTGCAGACCAACAGCAAGGCTTTCACCGCGAAGACGTCGTGCGTGCGCCGCCGCTACCGGGAGTTTGTGTGGCTGAGAAAGCAGTTGCAGAAGAACGCCGGCTTGGTGTGAGCTGCTCCTGGGCTTCCTGCCTGGCGGGTGGTGGAGGCGGGAGGGGTAGTGAGGGCAGCGTGCGACCCGCCAGGCGTGAGAGGCCCTTCCTGCCTGCCTTCCTTTCTCGTCTCACGGTGGAGCCTGAACTCTTGGTGACCCTCCTGCCTCAGCCGCCTGAGTGCTGGGGTGACAGGTGTGCATCACCACCCTGGCTTTTTTTTTTTAATTTAAAGTGAACTGTATGGGTTGGGTATCTCCTTGGGGTATTTCCTTGATCAGGGCTGGCATGGCTGTCCCGGATGTGGCACTTTCATGACCGGGCTGTCCCACTGTTCCTTCACAGCCCGGTCCCCGACCTTCCTGGGAAGGCCCCCTTCTTCGGCAGCTCAGACGAGTTCATTGAGAAGCGGCGCCAAGGCCTGCAGCACTTCCTGGAGAAGTGAGCAGAAGTCTGGTCCCTGTGGCTGCGGAGCGGGGATGGGGGCGTGGACGTGCCAAGGGATGCCATGCCTGCCCCGCTCCTGGGGGCCCTCGCGTCCTCAGAGTTGCCTGTGGGGTGACACCCAGTGCTGTGGCCCCTGTGTCACCCAGGGTCTTGCAGAGCGTGGTCCTCCTGTCCGACAGCCAGCTGCACCTCTTTCTGCAAAGCCAGCTCTCGGTGCCCGAGATAGAAGCCTGCGTGCAGGGCCGGAGCCCCACCACGGTGGCCGACGCCATCCTGCAGTATGCCATGTCCAACTGCGGCTGGGCCCAGGAGGAGCGGCCGGGCGTGGCCCGCCAGGCCCATGGCGATCAGCCCAACAGGTAAGAGGACGCTGCGGTGAGGCGGGTGCCCTGTCCCCTGCCAGGGGACGTAGTGTCCCAGCAGGGAGCTTTGCAGCAGGCTTGTCGGAGTGCGTGCTTCCCGCATTCTGAGTGGGAACAAGTGAAAGGGAAGACGACTTGCTCATTTGTCCTGTTGCTTTTGTTTTTGTTTTTTGAAACAGTCTTACCACGCAGCCCAGGCCAGCCTTGGACTCACTGCAGTCCTCCTGCCTCAGCCTCTTGAGTGCTGGGTAACAGGCGTGCACTGCCACACCCGCCTCTTATTTGCCCTGTTCTTTATCCCCACCTCAGTGTACACCAATTTTGATAGTAACTTGAGGCCCAGTGAGGTAGCTCAGTGGTGTAAAGCGCCTGCTTAGGCCAGCACAGGCGCCACACGCCTGCAGCCCCGCCCCAGGGCGGGCCGAGCTGGCCACAAAAAACTTGATTGGTGGGCATGGTGGCATACCAAAAAAATTTTATTGGTGTGTCATAAATTTTACATTTCATTTAATTAATTTATTTATTTTTAAAAATTTATTTATTTGTGTGTGTGTGTGTGTGTGTGTGTGTGTGTGGCCAGCTCAGCCCACCAGGGGGCGGGGCTGGCTGGCATGTGGTGCTGGGGGATTGAACCGCGGTCCCTGTGCTTTGTTAAGCTTGTTCTAAGTAGGTGCTTTAGACCACTGAGCCATCTCACCAGCCCATAATTTTACATTTTAAAAAATGGCGTAGTTGTGTAGTTTTTAGTAAATTCACAGAGCTGTGTGATTATCAGTCAGCACCACTGTTTTAGAACATTTGCATATGTTACACAGAGCTGGCTGGGCGCTTTGGCTTCCTTGGGAAGCTGAGGCAGGAGGATTACCAGTTCAAGACCGGTCTGGGCAGCTTAGACCCTGTGCGAGATTTAGAAGGGCGAGGGTGGGGTCTGCTCAGCAGCAGTGCGCGAGGCTAGCATGTCAGGCCCTGGATGCGTTTCCTAGCATTAGGAGAAGCTCTGAGCCCGAGAGCAGTGCCTCTACCCGCCTCTGGTGCCAACAGACCTACCTCCGGGGACCTTTCACACACACACTATGTGGCGGAGCCTGGTGTGGAAGCACATGGCTGTCGTCCCAGTACTGGGGAGGCTGAGGCAGGAGCATTGCCATGAGTTTGAGACTCTGCCTCGGAAAAAACAATGCAGAAAAGAGATGTGGTTTCGTACTGGCTTTTTTCTCATTTATGTATGCGGTACTAGGAATTGAACCCGGTGCCTTCACACAGAGCTGCATGGCCCAGTCTTACATTTTTTTCATTTTGAGAGAGGGTTTCTCATTAAGTTGCCCAAGCTGGGCTTAAATTTGCAATCTTCCTGCCTCAGCCTTCTAGAGTGCTGGGGTTATAGACGTGCACCATCACATCTGGCTAGCATAGTATTTTTTTAACATAATCTTTCCGTCTGTAAGGTAGATTGGGGTCTTTTGAGACAGGGTCTCGCTTTGTAGCACAGGCTGTCCCTGAAGTCCCGAGGATCTTCCTGCCTCAGCCTCCCAACCTGGCTAGAGCAATGTCTCCAGAATGCATCCACCTGGACTAAGCCCAAGCCTGCTTCGGGGTCTCTGTGACACCAGGGCACGGCCTGGTCGCGCTGCCCTTCATGGCGCAGTCTCTGTGTCCCCATCGGGCTGTCCGTCCTGCTCATCCATCCGACCCTTCCTCTCCTTCTCCCCTCTGCAGTTGCTGCTTCCTGCCAAGGTCGGGGAAGAGGGGCTCACCATCGCCACCCCCCAGTGACGAGCAGGACTGCCTGGCAGTGTGGGCCCCTGGGGTTGACTCCGAGGCGCCTTCCCTGGAGGGCCCCGTGCTGCTGCCCCCCTCGCCACCACCGCCATGTGATTGCTCTTGGCTTGACGAGGCACCCTCTGTCCACCAGGCTGTGGGCGGTGACCGTGCCGTGGCTTTGGACCCTGGCCAGCTGGACGCAGTTGGGGAAAACTGAGGGCTGTTCTGAGCTCTGGGCTTTGCTTCAAGGTGCTCAGAGACTGAGCTGGGTGTGTGGCGCGTGCCTGTCGTCCCAGCACCCAGGAGGCTGAGGCAGGAGGGTCTCTTCACATTCAGGGCTAACCTGGGCTACGTAGCAAGAGTCTGTCATCGTCCCACTAAAAAAAAAGACGAAGATGCAGGCAGGAGACTGGTTCTGGTGGGTGGGGCAGAGTGCGGACGCTTGGTTGGGTGCAGAGAGGCCTGTGGAGATAGTTCCTCTGACTCCTCCGTAGAACAGATGTTACACAGCTGTTGCTGAGGTACACCACTGGCCTGGGACTGCTGGCTTTGAACAGAACCCTGGTTTTAGTCTCTTGGAAGCTGAGTTGCGGGTGGCTGATACAGCCCCAGGTGGCTGGCTTTTGGGGACTGGCTGTGGTACCAAACACGCAGGCCTCGACCTGTGGCCATCCTGCCTCAGCCTCCCAAGTGCTGGGATGCCCAGTGTGCGCCACCACCCAGCTCCTCCTTCCCTTCCCCTCTCCTTTCTGCCTCCTGGGCCTTGGGCCTAGGGCTGCTCCACTACATCCCTACCCTTTATTTTTTATTTGGAGTCAGGGTCTCTTGGATTTCCCAAGCTACCGTTGAACTTGCGGCCCTCCTGTCTGAGTGCAGAGTTCCCTGGTACTGGGCTTCGGCCTCCCTCCTTGTCCAGGGCGGCTGCCTTTCCTTGCCTTTCCTCAGCTGCTGCTGAGCAGAGCAGGCCTGCGACCCTTTGGCCGGGCTTGCACGGCTCTGGAGACCTCACTGGCTGAGCAGGGCCTGGGAGCCTTGGCGGGGTGCCATTGGTCACAGCTGGAGGGAGTCAAGCTGGGGGCTTTGTCTTGGAGGAGTGAGAAGCAGGTTCTCTTTCCTGCAGGACTAGTGTGGCCTTTCTGTTCCAAATCCTTTTCTTCCCCCTTGGCAGCAGGCTCTGGAGGCCCCCATCGGGTAGGGCAGCTGCCTGTTCAGTTCAGCAGGCGCCGGCCAGGGTCTGCTTCTGCTTGGGAGGAAGAGCAGCCTGAGGGTGGAGGCGGGGCGCGTCGAGGTCCCCGAATGGCCTCGCTCTTGCGCCCCAATGCCGCCCCAACCACTCTGTGAGGAGCCTCTGTCACTCCCACCTTCTGTCACGGGGTCTCAGTTCAGAGTTGAGGGGCTGTGGGTTGAAATAAATCACACGTATTTAAGCCTATTGTTGCTATTTGTGTCTAACAAGGTGTAGGTCAGGGTGCCCTTGAACTTACTCTATAGCCCGGGCTGACCTCAGACTTGCCGTGATCTTCCTGCCTCAGCCTCCCTAGTGCGGGGGTGACAGGTGTGCGCCACCACGCCGGGCGATTCATGAGTTTTCTCAGTGTGGCAGCGAAACTTCAGAACCCCGCGCAGTGGCTTCTTCCCAGGAGCGGAACCTTGTTAGGTGTAATTTACCTGCCCTGTCGCCCCGCAGCCTGCGTGCCTTGCGGGGCCAGGTGCTGAGCGGGAAATAAAGTTTGTCAACAGGCAGATGGGGAGCGGGGGCTGGCGCTCACCCCTCGCTCCTGCCCACCTCCCCTGGGCCCCTACTCCATCTGACGCAGCCGAGCAAAGCGAGGCTCGAAAACCCACAGTGGCAAATCCAAAATGTCAAAGGAAGTTCATTTAAGAGGGGGGAAAAACCCCCACGCAGCCCTCGCGAAAACGCGACAGATGCTCCGCTAATGGCATCCGCGCTGCCGATTGGTGGGGGCGGCTCATGAATATTAATGAGCGCAGGGCTCCAAATGGTGCAGCTGTGAACCCAGCTGTGCGCAGCTCTCTGATCTCGAAACTTCCAGACAGGAGCCCGGGGTGGGCCGCCGCAATTCCCTACTCAGCCAAAAGCCGCGCGCGCGCGGCCGCTCCCGCCCGCCCCTCCCCGCCCGAGTCGCCCCGACAGCAGGCGCCGCGCCGACACGGCTGTGATTTTCCTGACTCCCGGCTTTTTTAACGATCGATTAGTAGCCCACGCTGCAGCTCCAGAGTTCCTCCGAGCCGCCCGGCGCTGTGCTGAGTTGGGGGTCAGCAGGGACCCGGCAAGGTGCGGCTTTGCTAAGAACCCGCCAGGACCCCCCGAGGTCCCCAGGTGTCCTCAGCGGCCCTCCCAGCGTGTTGTGGGTGAAAGCATTTTGAAGCTAATGAGGCTCGAGGCTAGGTTTTGCCACCCTTCTTTCTTTGAGACAGGTTTTCTCTGTTGTGACCCTTCAGCAACGCTCCTGCCTCAGCCTTCCCAGTGCTGGGAGCACGGCCCGCCGCCTCCCCGCCCTTCCAGCAGCTGTGCCCAAGGCCTAGGTCTCGTCCTCTGTTACTGAGGGGAAGTACTAGAACCTGAGTGGGGTGCGTGTGTGTGTGTAGGGGAAGCTTTGGCTTTCTCCCATAAGAGTAACTTTGTATACATTTCGTCAGCCCTCAGTGCCAGGTGAGAAGTGTAGGCCGGTTTTATACAGTTCTTCAGCACTCAGGGAGATTGAGGCAGGAGGATTACAAATTCAAGCTCAGTCTAGGCATCTTTCCAATTTAGCAAGAACTTGTCTGGAATAAAGATTAAAAAGGGTTGGGAGTGAAACATAAGGGAAAGGCTTGGGTTCAGCCCCCTGTACCACAATGAATAGTCACCAAGAGACCCGGGCATATGGCCCACCCCTGTCATCTCGGCACTTGGGAGGCTGAGGCAGGAGAATCCTTGTTAGTTGGGGCCAGCCTGGGCTATACAGCAAGACCTAGTCTCAAAAAAAAAAAAAA